ACGTAAAAATAAATAAATAAAATAAAGGTATTATGTTCAACTACAACTAAAAAATAAATATTTAAAAAAAGGGGGGGCAGGCATGGGTGAGTTCAGAGCACGGGCAGGAATTCCAAACAAGTTTAGAAAGCTCAGTAATTTATAGTAAAATGGAAATGAACTTTTCATGACTGTGACAAGATGGCTCCCAATCTTAAAATGGAATTAGGCTGGGTTCATCAAAAGAACTGAGAGTTTTGTGTCAAAGAGGCATGAAATTTTCAATTTTCTTCATTTAAAAAAAAAAAAAGCTGAGAGAATGTAGATACAGGCTAAATTATAAATCATCTTGTGTACAGGAGCTGAGTGGGGGTGGGGTGAGAAGCAGAGAATAAAATTGCTAGGAGAAGCCCTGCCAGAATTAGAAAAAATATGAAATATAACCTCAGGAACTATTATTTCAAAGGAACCAGAATTTGATTGCACAAGTATGTAGAGCAATTTATTCCTAGGGAATTGTTGAAAATGATAAAGAAATCAGCCCATAATTAGTGGAGTTTAACAGCTGGGTATGGTCAGTAAAAGAGAACGAGATTGTTACTACCACTATTCTCCCAGGCTGAATTTGGGCATACTTAAACTAAAGTTTGGCCTCCTTGAGGCACAATATCACACTGGGGAAAGAAGAGAATAGATTTCACTGAAATAATACAATCTGTCATTAAGTAAATAAACAAGTAAATCACAGTAATAAGCCCTGGAGGGTTGGGTAGACCAGCATCCAGAGTACTATACATGTTTGGTTCACAGAACTGAGTACAAGGAATTGGCTCACACAATTATGGAGATGGGAAGTTCCAAGACCTTCGGAGTGATTCAGTAATCTTAGTAACTAGGAGAGCCAATGATTTACTACCAGCCAAAGTCTGAAGGCCTGAGAACCAGGAGAACCAATGATGTGGTTCCTGTCTGAAGGCCAGTAGACTTATGAACCAGGAAGAGCCCATATTGCAAGTCAAATCAGAGACAGGAAAAAAGCTGATGCCCTAGTTTCAAGACAGTCAGGTAGCAAGAATGCTTCTTTTATTTGGGGAAGAGTCAACTTTTTCATTCTATTCAGGCCTCAAACTAACTGATTGACTGGATAGACCTGGCTGCATTAAGGAAGGCAATCTGCTTTACTTACTTGACTAATTTAAATGTAAATTTCAGTCAGGCACAATGGTGCACTCCTATAATTCCAGCTACTCAAGAGACTGAGACAGGAGGATGGCAAATTCAAAAACCAGCTTTGGTAACTTAGTGAGATCCTGTCTGAAAATTAAAAAATAAAAGTAAAAAGGCTGGGGATGGAGCTCAGTGGTAGAGCATCCCTAGATTCAATACCCAGTACCATAAATAAATAAACAAACATTTATCTCTTCAAAAAAATCACCCTCGCAGAAATACCCAGAATAATATTTAACTCAGTACTCCATGGCCCATACACATTGATACAAAAAATTAACCATTACAGTCGTTATATTACAGAGAGCTGGTTGTGCTCTGCTCTGAGATACTCTATGATGTATATAGAACAGCAGTGTTCAGGCTGTGCCTAAACTTTTGTTACTCCATTTTGTAAACAGTAGTTTGCTATAAGCTACTCCATTCTGAGTTTGAGGGGCAAAGAGAATGACTCCATGCCTTGTTTGTACGAGTAAACAACCACCATCTGCATGGCACAACTATGCATAAGCATAAACTAATAAATAAATTAATCATTCTGTTATCAAATTAATCAGAAGGACATGGACACAAGGGCATATGAAGCTCATATGGAAAAAACCTGGCCCACAGGCTTATCAAACACACCACATTACCAATGATGCAACCCCCTCACTTGAGACCACTAAAAGGAAGAGCACCCTGAGACTAGACATGGTGGCACCCTCACCCTGATCACTCAGCATGAGCCTTGCTTAGGAAAATCACCACAGTGACAAACCTCAAATTTCTGTAATAGGGATTTAGCAGAATGCAGTTTCTCCTACCCTTGAAAATCACACAAGTCCAACTGTAAGATGACATCTCAAGCTGACACTGAAACTACTGCCATCAAGTCCATGACCTAGAATAAGTTCCTGTGCTTTGACAGCTCTATGCCCTGAACAAGTTCTTCAGCTGGTTCATAATCTTGTCTGACTACCTATAGAGACCTCCAACTCATAGCTACTTTGTTCTGGGTTCAGCCTTCTGAACCTCTAGAGCTGTCTTATAGTTATATAGTTATATATGCCTAGCATATATAACTATCCAAAGTATGATGTATGACCCGTGTGTTAGAGATATTAGAAATCAAGATTGGAATAAAAGAACCTGTGATTGCCCAGTTTATGACTATCAGATAACCCACAAGTATTCTGTGAACTGCCACTGATGAAAGTGGTATAGCCTGTGAATTTACTGTTATTCAATAAATTTTGACATTGTGGAAAGACACAAGTGTGTTTGGTCTATATTAATGACATAGCACCCCCATGACATACATCATTTAAAATGTCCAATTTCCACAAGAAATTAGGAAACTTGCAAAGAAAGAGGAAAATATAATCTGTACACTGGCAAAAAATAATAATAACACAGATGCGTACCAAGTACAAATCCATAGATTTGATCACCAACACTACAAAACATAAAAAAGAGCCAGGTGTGGTGGTGCATGTCTATAATCCTATTGGCTCAGGAGGCTGAGGCAGGAGGATTGCAAGTTCAAAGCCGGCATCAGCAACTTGGAGAGGCCCTAAGCAACTCAGTGACAGCCTGTCTCAAAATAAAATTTTATAAAGCGGTGGGAATGTGGTTTAGTGGTTAAGAACCCCTGAGCTCAATCCCTAGTACCACAAAAATAAATAAATTAAATTAAATTAAGGGACTGGGATTGTGGCTCAGTGGTGGAGCACTCACCTAGCACGGGCAGGACCTGGGTTCCATCCTCAGCACCACATAAAAATTTAAAAAATGCATTGTATTATGTCTATCTACAACAAAAAATAAACATTTAAAAAATTAAATTAAAAAGAAAGAAAGTAGAATACAATTTAACAACCTAGTCTTCCACTTAACATACTGGCAAAAGAAAAGCAAACTAAACCTAAACAAACAGAAGGAAGGACAAAATGAAGAATAAAGTAGAAGCAAGCCAGGTATAGTGGCTTGTGTCTACAATCTCAGCTATTCAGGAGACTGAGGAGAGAGGATAGCTTGAGGCAAGGAGTATGAGACCAGCCTGGGCACCAGAGAAAGACATTGGCTCAAAAAATAAAATAAAATAAAATAAACACACACACACACAGAAGAATAAAGTAGAAATTAATCAAACAGAGAAAAATCAATGAAATCAAATATTGTTTCTTTAAAAAAAAAAAAAAAACTAGAGAATTTACATTTAGCTAGATTGACCACGATAAAGAGAGAGAAGATTCCAATTTTCAAATTACTAGAGTCAGAAATGAAAGAGGGGATATTACTACTGACCTTACAGTGCTGCAGTCTGGCTGGGCACAAAAACTGTGAGCCACCACACAGTTTGTAGATTCAAACAGCAACTCTTTATTCCCGAACTCACACCAGCCGTCTACAATCACGTTCTGGGGAAATCCACGTTCTCTGCCCAAATCCACCCCCACTGGGCTTCTGTCTCCCAAAAAATACTGTCTGAATCCCGTGAGAACTCAAGGAGAACTCAGGCAGCAGGATACGCCCTATTCCCAGCAGGAATAACCTTAAACCCGGATTATCCTAAACCTGGAACACCCTAAACCCGGATCCGCCCTGGTCCTTGAGCAAGGTCACCTTAGATGCAATGTCACTGCAAAATGTCCTATTTCCATGAGTCCTTCCACTAAGCAACATGGGGTACGCTGGCAAGGAAATTGTCATACCTACTTGGCTAATGGCTCCCAGCAACTAGAGTCAGAAATGAAAGAGGGGATATTACTACTGACCTTACAGAAATAAAGGGTCATAAAGAAATACAATGAATAATTGTATGCCAACAAATTTGATATATTAGATGAAACAAACTCCTAAAAAGACACAAACTTGCAAAACGGGTTTAATAGCCAAGCATGTCATCATATATCCATAATCCCAGCTACTTGAGATGAGACTGGAGGATCGAAAGTTCAAGGCCAGATTCGGTCATCAATTTACAAGACCCTGACTCAAAAGAAAAAAAAAAGGGGGGTGGTAAGTGCCGGGTTTCTGTTCTCGAGACTAAAAGGCTCAGGGGTCACTCCAGTTAAACTGGGCTAACTGGGCTACATGAAATAACCACACAAGAGACACAAATACCTTTTTCTCTAGGGTCGCTGTGACGGCTCCTCTGACCTTAAGGGAGGGAGGGAGGGAGGGAGGGAGGGAGGGAGAGAGAGAGAGAGAGAGAGAGAGAGAGAGAGAGAGAGAGAGAGAGAGAGAGAGAGAGAGAGAGAGAGAGAGAGAGAGAGAGAGAGAGAGAGAGAGAGAGAGAGAGAGAGAGAGAGAGCACACGCGCACGTGCTGACCCCTTTTATTGAGGAGAAGTTATTGAAATGAGGCAAGGGGTCAAGTTTCAGGGGGCTGAGTCTATCTTCATGATGTCCACTGTCAGCAGGTTGACTGACACCTGGGTAGGCCACACCCAAGGGCACAATAAGAGAAGGGGACATGCTGGTAGCAGGCCCGCCCTGGCCCCTGGGGACTCAACCCCCAGTTCTTTGTTCTGCATGTCAATGTGGCCAGCTGACAAGGCTGTGAAGCGGGCTTGCGGTTTCCCGTTTATCTGCCTCGAGCATACGTGTCTCTTGGGAACATCTTGACCTGTTCGAGCCTCCTGATAGGGGACGGTGACATGATGGTAACCCAAGGACGCAGTTATTACTCTTCCCTCCTCACTTTTGAGTGATTTCCCGCAGCTGTTAAAAAGATATATAAGGGGAACAAATTTGGCAATAAAGGGCGCGCACGCTCCCTCCTGGATGAAGAACCTTGGTGTCCTGTGTATTTTTAACCCCGCCGTCCCTCACCGGACTCGGCTCCGTTAGCCGGAAGCGGCAGGGACACACACAAGGAACTTCCATGGAAGATTCTATCCTAAACAGGGCAAGGGGTTATATTACAAAGGAAAAGGTGAGCGTAGCCTCACCCATGGGGGCTGTAGCAAGACACACCCATGCAGGAGACTCCGACCCTGGAACCTAAGAAGGGTGAGGAAAGCTCTGCCACATTTCTGTGACTGAGCGTCTCAGCACCCAGCTGGAGAGTGTGACTCAGTCACGTGCAACGTTGGTCTCCCACAGGTAAGCATGGTAGAGTGCCTCTGCATTCAATCCCCATTGCCAAAAAAATAAAATAAAATAAAACCCAGGTCCATATGTCTTCATCACTGAATTTCATCAAAGATTTAAAGAGAATTAGTAAGAATTTCTTCATAAATTCTTCTCCAAAAACAGTAGAGGAAAGGAATATTTCTTTCTCTATTTTAAATAAGGCCAGTATGACCCTGATACCAAAAAAATACACAAAGATACCACAAAAAAACTATAGACTAATAACTCTTGTGAATATAGGTGAAAAATCCTCAGTAAAGTACTAGCAAATGAAATCCTGAATCTTAGAAAAAGAATTTTGCACCAGGACCACATGGTATTTTATTCCATTAATGCCAGGTTGGTTTAACATCTTAAAATCAACTAATACAATACGTCATATCAGTACAAAACAAAATATGATCCAGACATGATGGTGTATGCCTGTAGTCTCATCTACTCAGGAAGCTGAGGCAGGAGGATCACTTTCACTCAAGAGTTCAAGGCCAGCGTGGGCAACCCCATGAGACCCTATCTCAAAAAATTAATTAATTAATTAAAGCATGATCATCTTAATCAGCACCCAGATATCATATTTGCCCAATGTCCAAAAAGGGTGCCTTATATGTGTAAAAGATATTATATTGACCCAGTGTCTTACTTATAGGACAATCTATTTTCATTCTTTTTAAAATTTTTTTTAGTTGTTGGTGGACCTTTATTTTAATCATTTATCTATATGTGGTGTAGAGAATCGAACCCAGTGCCTCACGCATGCAAGGCAAGCGCTCTACCACTGAGCCACAACCCCAGCCCTATTTTCATTCTTAATGATAAAGAGATATAAAAGCTCTAGATTATGATTTCCAGCACCTTTTAATGCACCCATGTTTATTTTGTTGAAATATTGGGAGAATTTTAAACTTGGGGCTTAGTGGGTTAATAGATAAAGAAACAAAATTTTAAAATCATTTTCTTTTTGTTATGGTTAATCTTGGTTGTCAACTTGACTGGATTGAGATGCATAGAAAATTGGTAAAGCACCCTTCCTGGTGTCTCTGTGAAGGTGTTTTTAAAGACAACAGGCATGTGGGTCAATGAACTGAGGGGGAAAGACCCACCCTAAATGTGGTTGGCAGCATCTGAGGGCCAGATGAAACAAAAAGCAGAAAGAGGAAGCTGGTCCTCAATGCAAAGCTTGATTTTTCTTCTTCTTCTTTTTTTTTTAATAAATGTTTTTTAGTTGTAGATGGACACAATACCTTTATTTTGTTTATTTTTATGTGGTGCTGAGGATCAAACCCAGTGCCTCACACGTGCGAGGCAAGTGCTCTACTGCTGAGCCACAACCCCAGCCCCTTGATTTTTCTTAAGTAGGTGTGCTACTTGCTGCTGTCATCACCCACAGAACTCAGACTCTAACGTCTTCAGCCTTTGAACATGTACTAGCACCAAGGACTTTCCAGGAATCCACTGGTCCTTCAGCCTTGGACTGGGGCTGCAAATTGTATTCTTTGTTCTGAAGCTTCCAGTTTCTTGGACTAAGCATCTACTTGTTTCCCCAGCTCCCCAGCTTGCAGACAGCCTGGGTAGGACTATCCAGCCTCTGATCACATAAGCAATCCCAAATCCCCTTTTATAATTATACACATGTTCTATTGGTTCTATTCCTCTAGACAATACACTTTCATGATGAAACAGTCAACAACAGAATATAAAGGATTTTTTTCTTAGCCTCTATGAAAAACCCATGGCTAATGTGCTTATCAGTAAATTAAAAAAAAAAAAAAGGAAAAAAACTATGCTTTCTCTCTAAGATCTGGAATAATAAAACAAGGATGTCCATTCTTGCCTCTTTCATTCAACATTATACCGGAGGTTCTAATTAAAGAAATTAGGCAAGAAAAATAAATGAAAGGCATCCAGACTGGGAAAGAAGAAGCAAAATTATCTCTATTTGCAAAAGATATGATCTTACATATAGAAATTCCTAATGAATCCACTAAAAAACAATTAAAGGCAATAAGTGACCTCAGCAAAGTTATAAGATATAAAACCAATATAAAGGTTGAGGAAGGGGGATTGCAAGTTCAAAGCTAGCCTTAGTAACTTAGTAAGACAGTAGGCAACTTAGTGAGACCCTGTCTCAAAATTTTAAAAAAGTTTTAAAAGGGTTGGGGATATAGCCCTGGATTGAGCATCCTGGGTTCAATCCCCAGCATCAAAAAATAAAATAATGAAATAAAATAAAACCAGTATACAAAAATAAATTGTTGGGGCTGGGGATGTGGCTCAAGAAGTAGTGCGCTGGAGCACCTGGCATGCGCGAGGCGCTGGGTTTGATCCTCAGCACCACATAAAAATAAAAAAATAAACATGTTGTGTCCACCAAAAATTAAAAAATTCTCTCTCTCTCTCTCTCTCTCTCTCTCTCTCTCTTTAAAAAAAATTGTATTTGAATAACATATGAAAAGAAGCTCAACGTCATGCCATTAGGAGAATGCAAACCAAAATCACAGTGAGCTAGATATGGTGACACACACTTCTGACTGCATTGGACTTAGAAGGCTGAGGCAGGAAGATCACAAGTTCAAGGCCAGCCTCAGCAACTTAGTGAGTCCCTGTCTCAAAATGTAAAAAGAACTAGGAATGTAGCTAAGTAAACACCATTGGGTTCAATCCCTAGTATGGGGGGGGGGCGTGATATATCACCTCATTCCCGTCAGGATGGCTGAAATTAAAAGAAGTGAAAATAGCAAGTGAGGAGGTACATGTGTTGAAACTCCTGTTCACTGCTGGGAAGAATGTAAACAGGGATAGCCCTTATAGAACTATAAAATTTCCTCAAAAATTAGAAATAGAGGTCAGGTGTTTTGGTGCACACCTGTAATCCCTGTGATTTGGGAGGCTGAAGCAAGAGGATCACAAGTTTGAGGCCAGCCTCAGCAATTTAGCAAAACCCTAAGCAACTTAACGAGATCTGACTGCAAAACAAAAATTAAAAAGGACTGGGGGATATATCTCGGTGGTTAGGCACCCTTGGGTTCAATTCCCAATAACCCCCCTGCAAAAAAAAAAAATCAAAGGAGGACCTCAAAGACATTTGCACACCCATATTTATCACAATATTCATAATAGCCACAAAGTGGAAGCAACCCAAACGTCTACTGATAGATGAATGGATAAAATTAAAACCTAAGGAATAGGACTGGGCATGATAGCACATACCTTCAATTCCAGCAATTCAGGGGGTTGAGGCAGGAGGGCAGCCTGGGCAACTTAGCAAGACCTTGTCTCAAAAAAAAAAAAAAAAAAAAGAATTTACTCAAACTATATAATTCAATTGTTTTTAGTGTATATATAAATTTGCACAACTATCACAAATCTTAGAATACTCATTATCACAAAAAATTCTAAGCCATTTGCAAGTATTTTAATTTTTTATTTATATATTCAATTTGATTAAAATATATAATTAGACAAAAATCAATGCTATAATTCATCAAGAGAAAGCCAAAGCCTAGAGAGGCAATGTATTCACTTCCTATGGCTGCTGCAAACAAATTTCCTCAGATCTAGTGGTTTAAAACAACACAGGGGCTAGGGGTGGGTAGCTCAGTGATAGAGCACTTATCTAGCATGCATGAGGCCCTGGGCTCAGTCCTCAGTACTGCAATTAAAAAAAAAACAAAACACAAATCTATTAATTCATTTCTAGAGGTCAGAAGTCTGAAATCAGTTTCACTAGGTTAAAGTCAAAGTGTGGCAGAGTTGCTTCTTCTGGAGGCTTTCAGAACAGAATCCATTTCCTTACTTCTGATGGCTGGCTTCATTCCTTGGCTTATAGCCTCTTCCTCCATCTTCAAAGTACAATAATTCAATTTCTTCTTCCATCATCACATCACTTTCTCTTTCTGACTGACTCTTCCTGCATCTCTCTTATAAAGATATAGGATTATTGTAATTACACTTGACTCACCCAGATAACCCAGTTTAGTAAGAGTCTCACTAAACAGAGGCTAGCTTTAAACTTGCAATCCCCCTGCCTCAGTCTCTGGAGCCACTCAGATTGCAGGCATGTCCTACCATGTCTGGCTTAGAAAGACGTTTGAATCCACAATTCCTTTGCTTTTGCGTTGGTTCATGTCCGGATCATTTCACCCCGGGATACTATAATGATTTGCACACTACCACCAGTATGTAAAATACGACCCTACCATTTTCCTGCATAAATTCCTACAATTTCCCACTGCATAAACACAATCTTAATTTCCAAGTTTGGCTCCTACCAATTTTTAGAAAGTAGGCTCCAGCTACTATTCCTTAGTGTCACATATTCTGACACCTTACCATTGTTACAATTTTCTTAGTGTCTAGAACCAATTTTCTCTGCCCTTCCACATGCAGAATTCTTATTCATCCTCCAAAGCTGTGAACCAGTGTCTTCTCTCTCTCTCTCTCCCCCCCCCATCCCTCCCTCCCTCCCTCTCTCTCTTGGCAGGATAAGAGGGAGTACTAGGGATTGAACTCAGGGGCACTAAGCCCCAGCCCCAGCTCTATTTTGTATTTAGAGACAGGATCTTACTGGGTTGCTTAGCGCCTCGCTTTTGCTGAGGCTGGCTTTGTACTATAGGTTCTCCTGCCTCAGCCTCCTGAGCCGCTGGGATTACAGGCATGCGCCACCCTTGCCTCACTAGTGTTTCCTCCTTGAATAGAACAGTGAGTCTCCATTCTAAAACATTTGGTTGTTTTTCTCAATAATAACTGAGGGCCAACAATGTGTCTTAACACAAGGCAGTAAAGACACAGTAAATAAGATAGATCCAGGCCCTGCCACTTTAGTACGGAAGAAAAATAATACACAAATAATTACAAGCCTATTGAATGGCAATGAAAATGAAGTACAGAAACTATGGGATATAACCACAGAATTTTGTCAGGGGATATTAGGGAAGGCTTCCCTGAGGAAATACATTTAAGCTGAGAGCTGAAAGATAAGTAGGAGCCTAGGAGCAAAGACCAGTGCTCAACCATATTCATTTACCCAACTAATGTTTATTGAGTGCCTAATGTGGACCAGGTGTTATTTTAAATGTTTGGGATACATCAAAGAACACTCCCTTACCTTCTTAATGCTTATATTTCAGTGGTTATATTCCCCCTAGTTCCTTCATTCATTTACTCAAGAAATACCTATTGAATTTTCTCTGTCAGGCACTATGCCAAGTGGTAGGAACTAAAATATGAATAATCTCCTGTCCTTGCCTAAGCTGATTCTAAAATTTATATGGAATATAATTGCCAAGACGTGTGTGTGTTTGTGTTTGTGTGTGTGTGTGTGTGTGTTATGGGAACTGAACCCAGGGGTACTCTACCACTGAGCTGTACCAAAGAGCTTTCAGAATAAACTTGCAACAGCTACTATTTACTAAGTGCCATGCAATGCACTAATTTAAGGAAATTATATTGGTTAATCTTCACCACAACTATCTGAAGTAGGTACTATTTCCCCCTTTTACAGATGAAGAAACAAGTTCTCAAACGTTTAGTAACATCCCTAAGGAAACAGATTATGAGCGCAGAATGAAACAGTTGATGTCCAGCTGAGTACTTACAGCTTTAACTGATAGCCTGCTCATTTCTCAGTGATTAGTGGAGTTAATCCCCTCCTGCTTACCTCAGATACCATTAGAGTTCAAGACACCATGGCCACCCACTGTACCTGGACTCTCTTTCCTGCATGACTCTGAGCATCCATCCCTCCAGCTAAAAGGGTAGGTAGGTAGGTAGCTGAAATCCCTGGCCCATCACTGCAGTAGTGAGAAACAGCCTGTTTATACTAATGTACCATAAAGATTATGTTCATTTTCTAAGTGGGATGTAAGGTGGAAAAGCTGGGTTACATTATTGAATATAACCTTATCCTTCTCTTTCCTTGCCTTCTCAAAATTCTCTGGAAATCCGTCTATGACCAGCAACTTTCCTATACCCTCAAATCTGTCCTTGAAAAGTCTCTGAATTAAAACTAGCATCTCCTGATGATACTGCTTTCTTGCAGCCCAGAAAGCACTACAAAATTGTCCAGCCGGAAAAGTGAACAAGGATTGTAGCAAAAATGTGCACACCAATCCCAACTGAGTGTGGTTTTTCCAGTTTTCCTCAAGAGCACTCTTGCTGTTTTGGATCAATCTCAGGTTGAGATTCAAACAATACTTCACATTCCATTAGTAAAAACTAATCTGCAGCTAGGCATGGTGAGGCATGCCTGTAATACTGGCTGCAATCTCAAGTTCGAGACCAGCCTGGGAAACTCAATGAGACTCTGTTCCAAAATAAAAAATAAAAAAGGCTGGGGATGTAGTTCAGTGCTAGAGTGCCCCTGAGTTCAATCCCTAGTACCACCAAAACAAATACAAAAGCCAAAAGCAAAAAACCACTAGAAAACAACATACCAGATCTGCAATCACCTCTAACAGTTACAGATGTACCTCCAATTAAGAAGTACAAAACACACTAGGAGTTATCATGATGTGGGGTTATCATCATGATCCCCACATTATGGATTCATTTTCTGTCCCCATCCACTCTAGCTTTCATTGTTAACTCTATTATGGCAGTTAACATGTACCCCCTGATATATTTTTATGTTTTATTTTTTTAGTTGTAGATGGACATAATACCTTTATTTTGTTTATTTTTCTTTTTTCTTTTTTTTGAGAGAGAATTTTAATATTTATTTTTTAGCTTTCAGCGGACACAACATCTTTGCTTGTATGTGGTGCTGAGGATCGAAACCGGGCCACACTTGAGCCACATCCCCAGCCCTATTTTGTTTATTTTTCTTTATGTGGTGCTGAGGATCAAAATCAGTGCCTCACACATGCTAGGCAAGCGCTCTACCACTGAGCTAAAACCCCAGCCCTGATATTATATAGTTTATAAAACTACAATGCCTAGATAGATATATTACAGTTAGACAAACTAGAGGATAGTTTCCCTGAAAGCAGAAACTATATTTTAACTAAATGCTGTAGTGTAGGTTTGTGCCACACACACACACACACACACACACACACAGATATACACACACACACAGACACACACACACAGTTTATACAACTGAAATGTATGAACTATACTCAGTTCTTATCCCTTGGTAAAGTCCTTTCTCTGTGATCATTCAACTCCAATGGCAAAAAACAAAACAGCAGTATGTGCTGGGAAATGAGTCTCCTTTTTTATAAATATTTCCCTCCCAGGATTAGCTTCATATTGTTCAAAAGTATCCATGTGAGTTCTGGGACTTTGTAAAAAATACCCTTTGTCCCTTGGATATCCAGCTGAATAACTCTTGCTATTCAAATATGGATAACTAGAACTCTTAAGATAAACAACAGAATACAAGATAAATAAGTATAACCACTGGCTTTTAGGCCAGGTATCTGGTGTTAGCAAAAGGACATGGGTTTGCACTCAAAGGACTAGCATCCAAGCAAGAGCTCTGTAATTATCTAAGTATTTGACCCTGACAAAACCTTCACCTCTCACAGTCTGTTTTTTTATTGTCAAATATGAAAAAAGCCCTTATAGGAGAAATTCCCTGAAGCTTAAAAATTATGATATATGGTAAAGGTCCTCTGTAAACTGTAAAGCACTGCACAAACATCAGTCATCTACTGTATTGGAAAGTTTGGAGCCTAAGGCCTGACATAGAGCTGGTACTCAATATTGTTAGTATAGTAGTTCCCCTTTATCTGTGGTTTCACTTTTCATGATTTCAGTTGCCCAGGATCAACTATGGTCAGAAAATATTAAATGGAAAATTTCAAAAATAAATAATTCATAAGTTTTAAATAACTTTCATTACAGTATATAATTGTAATTATTCTATTCTGTTATTATTTATTGTTATTAATCTCTTACTATGTCTAATATATAAATTAAATTTTATCATAGGTACATAGAGGAAAAACAGTATATACAGAATTCAGTATGATCTGCATTTTCCTACATTCATGGAACGTTTTGGAATATGTCCCCTACAGATTAAGAGGGAATTATAAGGGGCTGGGGTTGTGGCTCAGTGGTAGAGTGCTTGCCTAGGTGGGTGAGGCACTGGGTTCGAGACTCAGTACCGCATAAAAAAAGGAAAAGAAAAAGAAAGGCATTGTGTCCACCTATAATTTAAAAAAAAATATATTTTTAAAAGAGGGAATTATAAATAAGTAAAGACTTGTAGTGAAAATGGGTAAAGTACAGGGCTGGGGTTGTGGCACAGTGGTAGAGTGCTTACGTAGCACGTGTGAAACACTGGGTTCGGTCCCCAGCACCACATTAATAAACAAATTAAAGGTATTGTGAAAATCTGCAACTAAAAATATTCTTTTTAAAAAAATGGGCCAGGTGCATGGGTGCATGCCTGTAATCCCAGCGGCTCTCGGGAGGATGAAGCAGGAGAATCCAAAGTTCAAAGCCAGCCTCAGCAACCCTGAGGCACTAAGCAACTCAGTGAGACCTCGTCTGTGGCTCAGTGGTCAAGGGCCTGAGTGCCCCCACCCCCCAGTTCAATCCCCAGTACCAAAAAAAAAAAAAAATGGGTAAAGTACAACTGATGATTTGGGTGATTTCAGGCAAGATTAATCTCTGTCCTCTATGGCCTCCTTTGCTACCATTTCCACCTTGGTTCATTAGGTTCCAACCATATTGTCTTTTTTGCTGTTCCTCCAACACATTAAGCTCACTCCTGTCTGAGTGGCTTCCTGAAACACTCTTTCCTAGTTCTTCACATGACCATCCCTTTCTTCAAATCAAGTCTTAGCTCAACTGTTTTTCCATGAATATCCTAAGTACCATTCCTCTCTCATCATTTATCCAATATATTTTCTTGTTTTATGTTGTCCTTAGCACTTATTAATTTTATTATTCTTTCCTGCACTACAATAATTAAAAAAAAAACCTATTAGAGCTTCTGTCTTGTTCATCACAGTATTCCAATGCCCCAAACATATCATTATTCATAATAAATTCTCAATAAGTATTTGAATAAATGAGGTAATTAAAATGAGGTAATTATATTATAAGTTTCATTCATTCAAGAAATATTTTGTATGTACCTAGGAGAGTTCAGGTTCTATTTCAAGGTGCTGGGGATTCAGCTGTGAACAAAATAGACAAAATCCCTGTTTTCCAGGGAGTGGGGAGGTAAAAAATAAACAAGATAAAAAGCAAAACATATAACATGTCTGATAAATGTTGAAGAGGAATAAAGGGGAGGAAAGGAGAACATGGAGTGTGTGGAGGGGTCAGAAAAGGAAGAGACAGAACCATGAGAATACATGGGAAAAGTACATTCCAAAAGGTCACTGTAACTGGGAGGGGAATTACAGATTTGAGGATTGAATAATACAATAATAGCTAAGGTCAGAGAAGTTAAGGAAAGTCAGACTGCATAAGGCTTGTTGGTTAAAATAAGGACTTTGGATTTTACCAAGATGGAAAGCCACTGCAGGATTTGAGTATGAGAATGTCATGATCAGACTTGTAGGAGTGTCCCTGGGGCTGCTATGCTGGGAACACCCAAGGGGCAAGACCAGGAACTAGCAAGGATACAACTATAATAAATAACCTAAGTAAGAGATGGTGGCTCGTTAAAACTCGGGAAGAAGCAGGTCAGAAATTGGAAGATAAAACTTGGGGTTTGACAGTTACCTTTGGAAAAGCCTACCAAGACATAGGTCCAGAATTTAAAGGAAGGTCTGAACTAGGGGTTGCCACTTACAATTCAACAAAAGGTAATATTATTAGCAGTAATCGAAACATAATGATGAAATCTAACACTACCACTTACTTACTAGTAACAAATTCTTTAGGATCTGGATCTTAGTTTCCATAACAAGACGAATTGAGAAGTGTCAACTGGTGATAGTGTGCAAGGTGAGAACCCTAAGCCAAGAACTGCATGAGCCCATCTCACGGGGGGAACCTTGCTGTGGAAACCGCGATCAGTTTGCGAAACTACGGCAAACACCCCAAACTCCCAAAGTCTGCAAAAGGAAACGTGCTCCAGGTCCTGCACCTCCTCGCGGTCTGCGGCGTCTAAGCCTCGCGAGATTTGTCAGCCGGGCCCAATCCACGCCCACCCACGTCTCGCGATACCGAGGTGCAGGAGCCGCTCTCGACCGGTGAGGGCTTGCAGGAAAGATGGAGAGTCCGATGTTGGGTACAGTGGAGACTGCGGATAGCGGAGGGGCCGGGCCATGCACGAACTCGGAGGAGCGGGAGGGCCGGGAACCAGAGGGGGTGCGATTCGACCACGAGAGGGCGCGCCGCCTGTGGGAAGCAGTGTCCGGCACCCAGCCGGTGGGGAGGGAGGAAGGTGAGTCCCAGGTCTCACGGACTGGAAGCCCCTCACCCCTGTTCGGCTCGCAAGGAGTGGCGTAAGCGGCGGGCGGGACCTCGGACCGGCTCTGGGGTTCTTGTCACACCCACTGGCGCCCGGCCCGCCTCCTGGCGTGTTGCGCTGGAGCGCTCCAGGACTCGTGTCCGCAGCAAGACCCCATTGCACGAAGGTCCAGGACCCCTCATGCTCAGGCCCCGGGTCTTCCTCATTCCTCAGGCTCCTATCCTCCATGTACCAGAGCGCACCTTTCCCCAAACTCGAGAACTGTCCTCTCAGAGACCCACAGAACCTTCCTTGCCAAATTCGTGGCCGGCCCAAGTACCATTTCTCATCGTCCCAGTCTCCGGCATTCCACACTTGTAATGTCTCCTGCCTCCCTTTTTCTCTCAAGCCCTATACTTCTGAGACACGTAGAAGGTTTAACCTTCCCTAACCCAGGGCCTCACACGTTCAGACAAGCACGTGCCTCCTGCTATCTGAGCCCTGGTTTACCCCTGTTTCTAAGGTGTGTGGCTTCTGTCGCTGGGACCTTATTGTTACGTGAGGGATAGGAGCCTGAGAAACTGACCCAGGTGTACTTATTTTAAGCTCCAGCTTCTTTGTATTTCACACTCCAAAAGCAAAGTTGTGTACCCAAGGCCACTTCAGGGGTCACTTCTAGGCTTCCCAGCTTGCTTGACTGGGTAAGATGAGAGAAAGAGGAGGATAGAAGAGCTAGCCTGACCTGATTGTGTGACTCCCTGCACAGTACTTTCCAGAGAGGAACTGTATCTGGGCTTCTGTGCTAATCATATCAGGTATCTTCAGGGAAATCATTTTTTCTTTACTGGTTTGTTTACTTACGGAGCAGACTACTCTTGGAAAGTCTAACATGTTTGTGAACTGAAAAATCCAATTTTATGAATTTTAATCATATACAAGGAAGGTATTTTTTAATTTGAGTGTATACTTTTCCAGTCTAACAATTAGTCTAGCCTGACTCCTAAATTAATATGTATACTGTTTCTGAGCCTCTCATACTTTTAAATATGTTTGTAACAAAGTTGCCTCCTCCCCCCAGTTTTCCTTTCATTAATTTCACAGATGTTCACTGACTGTTCCCCAAGACTGAGCATCAAAGTTACAGAGACACGTAACACTAAGTTCTGGCTTTTCTTCTTTCTCTCTCTCTTTTTATTTTAATATTTTTTGTAGTTGTAGATGGACATAATGCCTTTATTTTATTTGTTTATTTTTATGCAGTGTTAAGGATCAAACCCAGGGCCTCACACGTTCAGACAAGCACAATGCCACTGAGCTGCAGCCCCAGCCACTGGCTTTCATTTTCTTATAGCACCCTCATTAAGTTATAATTTGTACACCATAATAAGTATACCACTCAGTAATTTTTACTGAAAGTGTAGAGTTGTATAGCCATAAAGACAGTCCAATTTTAGAACATATCCATCACCCCATTAGTTTCTTTGTGTTCCTTCACATTAAATCCTCACTCCCACCTCCTGACCTAGATAACCATTGATCTGTTTTCTGTCTCTTTAAATTTATCTTTCCTGGACATTTCATATAAACAGAATCATACAATATGTTATCGTTTGAATTTGACTTCTTTTAGCATGTTTTTGAGGTTTAGCCAAGTTGCAGTATGTATTAGTACCTTATTTCTTTTTATTACTAAATAGAATTTCACTGTATAAATACATATACCATATTTTATTTATCCATTCATTTGTTGTTTACATGTGGATTGTTTCCAGTTTGGAACTTTTATGAATAATGCTGCTATGAACATTTGTGCTTAAGTGGTTTATTGTTGTTGTTGTTATTTTGTTTTTTTTCAAGGTCCTGGGAATTGAACTCAGGAGTTCAATTTACTTTACCCCTGAACTACATTGCCAGCCCTTTTATTTTTTGAGAGAGAGTCCCACCAAGTTGCCAAGGCTGGCCTTGAACTTGTGATCCTCCTGCCTCAGCCTTCTGAGTAAACTGGGGTTATAAGTATGTGCCACTTCACCTGGCTGTGCTCAATTTTTTGTGTGGACAAACATTTCTCCCTAGGAATGCAATTGCTGGGTCATATGGTTATTGGCCTTGGTGTATTTAATTTTGGGGGGAACTGTCAAATCATTTTCCAAAATGGTTTTATCCTTTTACAGCTCTTCCATGAATATATGAGGACTTCCCTTTCTTTATATCCCCCCAGATATTTGTTATTGTTTTATCTTTACCATTCTAGCGTGTGAAGAATTATCTGATTTTCTTTCTTTTTTTTTTTTTTTTTTTTTGATGCTGGGAATTGAATCCAAGGACTTGTGCATGCTAGATAAGCACTCTGTGTAATTGGATTATTTATCTTATTACTGAATCATAAGAGTTATTTTTATATTCTGAATACAAGTTCTTTATCAGGGATATAATTTAAATAAATTTCTTTTCTATGACTTTTGTTTTCTTCCAAACAGTGTCTTCTTTTTTTTTTTTTTTTTTTCCTTTTGGTACTGGGTATTGAACCCAGGGACTTACACATGCTGGGCAATTACTCTACCACTGAGTTACATCCCCAGCCCTTTTTTATTTTATTTTGAGACAGGGTCTCCCTTAATGCCCAGGCTAATCTGGAATTTACATTGCTTTAGCCTCCTGAGTAGCAGGGATTATAGGCATGTATCACCACACCTGGCTTCTATAAACTGTTTTGAGTTAATATTTTATGTATAGTATGGCGTAAGAATCTAAAATTTTTTTTGCAGTTGTCTTAGCACAATTTGTTGGGTAGACTATCCTTATACCATTGAATCATCTTGATGCTTACAGTGAAAATCAATTGGCCATAAATGTAAGAGTTTATTTCTGGACTCTCAGTTTTGTTCCTTCCATCTATAAGCCTATCCTTGAGTCAATATCATACTATCTTGACTACTGTGACTATGTTAAGTTTTTTTTTTTTTTAATATTTATTTTTTAGGTGTAGATGGATATAACACAATGCCTTTATTTTTATGTGGTGCTGAAGATCGAACCTGGGTTCTGCCCGCACTAGGCGAGGGCTCTACCACTGAGCCACAATCCCAGCCCCTATGTTAAGTTTTAATGTGTCAGTGTAAGTCCTCCAACTATGTTTCTTTCCCAAATTGTTTTGCCCATCCTTTTACATTTTTTTCCATTAAAAAATAAATTTTAGGATCAGCCTGTCAGTTTCTTTCTTTCTTCTTTCCCCTTCCTTCCTTGCTTCTTTCCTTCCATCCTTTCTTTTCCGTACAGGTTGGAATACTATTTAGCCAAGAAATTCAAACCCAAGACCATGCTAGGCATGTCCTCAGCCCCTGAGTTCTATACACCCAGTTTGCAATTTCTGCTTTTAAAAGAATCTGCTTGGATTTATACAGCAGTTGCATTGAATTTATAGATCAATTTGCAAGAATTGCTGTCAAGACAAAATTGAGTCTCTGATATCTGGAAATAGAATGTTCATTTTTTATTAACATGTATTGTTACATATTAATGATGTTCAATGTAACATTTCAGCACATGTAATGACCAAATCTAGCCTCCCTTTTTTCTACCTTCCCCCCAGACACCCTTCCTAACTTCTAGTTATCACTATTTCTACATTCAGGTCAACTTTTTTTTTTAGCTTCCATATATGAGAGAAAAGATGCTGTGCTTATCTTTCTGTGCTTTGGTTATTTCACTTAAGACCTCAGTTCCATAAGTGTTGTCAAGATTTCATGACAAGATTTCATTCTTTTTATGGCTAAATAGTATTCCATTGAGTATATATTCCATATTTTCTTTATTCATGTGTTGATGGACACTTATGTTGTTGCCATACTTGGCTCTTGTGACTAGTGCTGCAAGCATACACAAGAGTGCAGACATCTCTCCTATATATAATTTCATTTCTTTTGGATATATACCCAGAAGCAGGATTGCTGGATCATATGAAGGTTTTATTTTAATTTTTTGAGTACCACCTTACATTTTTTCATAATGACTGTACTAATTTACATTCCCACCAACAGTGCACAGGGGTTCCTTTTCTCCTATGTATCCTTACCAGTACTTGTTAACTTGTTATCTGTTGTCTTTTTTCTTCTTCTCCTCTTCCTCCTCTTCCCCCCCTTCCCCTTCCATCTTCCTGGATTAAATAACAGGCCTCACACATGCTAAATAAGTGCCCTACCTCTGACCTACATCACCAAACCTTTAGTTTATTTTGAGACAGGGTCCAGGTTGCCCAGTCTGGTTTTCAATCTAATTGTGCCTCAGTCTCCTGAGTAGATAGAATTACAAAGTCTATCTTTGTATTTAGGGTTGTTTTGTTTTGTTTTTTGTTTCATGAAGACACATTTATTTAGATCTTGAATTTTTTTAGTAGTATTTTATATTGTAATTAAAAAATTAAAATGTATTGTACTGAAATTACATTGCAATTTCAATAGAAGTGGCTGGAGTGAACATTTTATCTCGGGGAAAGGGCATTTAGTCTTTCACCACTGAATATGTTAGCTCTGGCTTTTTCATAGGTGCCTTTATGAGGTTGACTCCTAAGTATCAGTCCTCAGAAGAGTTAAGTAGTGTCCACCTTTATCCTCTTTCCTGTGAATTAATCTTCCCTGTTGGATGAGAATATAAGGAAGAGGCTCAAGACAATTGCATTCCTTCTGAAGGAACTTCCCTTGGTCAAATAAGGAAACTTTAGAGGAACAGCCCCTGCCACCATCATCACATACCCCCCCCCCTCCCAACCCCCAGAACTCTTTTGGGAAAAAGGATCAAGATATGAGGGAAGGGTGGAATAGAGG